GAGGTTTTTATTGTTATAAGCCCTGTGATGCGATTGTTAAATGTCTTGTTAATGAGTACATCGAAGGTTGTTAATATAACTGTATAACTTGTTATTAACAAGTGATTCTGACAGGTTGATATGAAAGATGGCAACTTCAAGTGGGAAGTATTTGTTCTGTTACCTCCATATAAGGGGTCAATTTATTAATAGTGTAGAATGTGAAATGCAATATGTTGGAGGTTGTGTGAGAACAAGAATGATAAAGAAAGACACACCAATCAATAAAAGACGCTTAGGGAGGCCAAAGAAAAGAAGAATTGAATATCAATTTCAAAATAAAAAACTTTACCATTGTGGAAGATGCTATAAGTCAGGCCACATTGTAAAGACTTGCCAAAACTCCAATCCAAGTTGAGCTTTGTTGGTGGCTTGTTTATATTTCTTTTTGTGTATGCTTGTGACATAATTGTTTTGTAAATATCATAACCCACACCTCAAGTTGTCCATCATTATCCACACATGCAATCTGTGTGCTTTTTCGAATGGGTTGTAAATTTGGTGTAGTTATATTGTACAGATATATCAAGTGGTAAATAACATCTGGTTGTAATCTGATATAATATCATATCTGTATTTTGATGTACTTGTCAATAGGCTGTAATGGACTTGTTATTAGACGCTGTGGAGGTTGTCATTAGTAGTCTGAATTATGTTACTGATATAAAATGACAATTTCTCTTACTTGCAATGTTCAATGATTTCTTAACACATGATTGTTGAGTTAAAGTTGTAACATAATATCATTTGGTTATAATTTGATGCTATGTTGAGGCTATGATATCCCACAGTGTGAGTTGTCAAGGGTACTGTTGAGGTTATTAACCACTTCTCCTCAAGTTGTCAACAACTGCCATTAAGGTTGTAAATAAATCTTTGTAATAGAAATCTACTGTAATCCTATTGGGTTCAGTTACAGCTGTTAATGACTTCAAAATGCCTTACATTATATTGTTAAGGTCGTTTTGTGTGCTGATAATACAGTTTTTTTTAGAAGCTATGGTATCCGATAGAGTGAGTTGTCAGGGGCACTGCCGAGGTTGTTAACCACTTCTCCTCAGGTTGTCAACAACCACCGTTGAGGTTGTAAATGAATATCTGCAATAAAAATGTGTTGTAATCCTGCTGGGTTTACTTGAAGCTGTTAATGACTTCAAAATGCCTACCATCATATTGTTAAGTTCATCATATGTGCTAATAATATAATTTTTTAAGAAGTCGTGGCATCCCATATAGTGAATTGTCATGAGCATTGCTAAAGTTGTTAAGCACTTCCCCTCAGGTTGTTAATAGACGCCGTTGATGTTGTAAATGGATTTGGCAGAGAGGACTGTGATATATACCTATCATGTCATCATGGTTAGCATTATTTTATCCACTTTTATTAAGTCTTCATTTCTAGACATGATTCGGGTTTGGAATAATGAATTTTGTGGTTATCAAAACACATGAATGCCATTACAATAACTTCATAACTAGGAAATGATGCCAATCATATTAACATAACTTAACATTCAGCTATTATTTTATGGTCAAATAAAAAAAACAAAATCTAAACTTTACTTTCAGCTGTCATTGTGTTGTCAAATGAAAAAACAAAGTGTGATATTTACATTCAGCTGTCATTATGCTGTCAAATGAAAAAAAACTAAATACAATATATGCTGGTTGTTTATTTCTTCCTCTTTCTTTGGAAGTTTTCTTATAGCAAAGACAGCACTTGATCACTATGCAGATTGTTTTTATGAGTTACAACCCACCACAAGCATCCAACCTTCAAGTCATGTGACTTCCTTGTCAATTTTGTCGTTTTTGTCAAATAGTGCTAGCTTCACTCTACAAAAAACTTGGTAGAAACAATCTCTCTGCAAAAAGGAAACAAAAAAAAAGGAACAACTTTGATAGTAGTGAATGACAAGTAATCAGCAGGCATTAACAACCTTGACAGTAGTGAATGGCAGGTAATCAGCAGGCATTAACAACTTTAACAATAGTAAATGACAAGTAATCAGCAGGCATTAATTGATAGTTTATTAAAACTAATTCCTTTTAGCGTTTTCATCATATCATGTGTTAAGAAATCGTTGACCACTGCAAGTAGGAGAAATTGTCACTTTATATCAGTGACATAATTTAGACTACTAATGACAACCTCCACAGCGTCTGATAACAAGTCTATTACAGCCTATTAACAAGTACATCAAAATACAGATTTGATATTATATCAGATTACAACCAGATGTCATTTACTACTTAATATATATGTACAATGAAACTATACCAAATTTACATTTTATCTATAAGGTCCACAAATGTACACTCATCAAAGTTTACTATGAATTTGATAACCCTTCCATTACTTTCTTTTCTCATAATTGATGTTACCATTATTCTAAATTCTTTATATGATGTGCCTTTCTTTATTATTTTTGTTCTCACACCACCTTTAACATACTGCATTTCACCTTTTACACCATCAATAAATTGTCCCCCTATATGGAGGTAACAAAACAAATGCTTTCCACTTGAAGTTGTCATCCTTCATATCAACCTGTCACAATCACTCGTTAATAACAAGTCATATAGTTACATTAACAACCTTTGATGTGCCCATTAATAAGACATTTAACCATCGCATTACAGGGGGTTATAACAGTAAAAATCTGTTATTTTTATTCTTTTTCATCAGCAACACAGTATCAATCACTGAAAAAAAAGCATCATTCACCCAAAAACAGAGCATTGCTTTATAACCCTAGCCACACATAACAAAACCACACCTAAGATGATTAAAACCATATATGACTAAAATGAGCTTTTCTTGATAGTTCAAGTGAGTTAAATCACGTCCTTAATACCCACACACCCACAGCCAATCAACTTTTCAAACCAATATTAAACTTGAGATTGGTTGTGTACGAAAGAAAAGAAATCTTGTTACTAATGAGACCTACAAAGAAGATGAAGAAAAAAATATAGCTTGCCTGGAATAATGGAGCACCAACATAGACCTCTGTTATAGCTTGCCTGGAATAATGGAGCACCAGCATAGACCTCTGTTCCTTCTTTCAGTAGCTTCTCTTCCTCATATATGCAGCACCAGCGCACAAATTGAAGCTTTCCCTCTGTTTTTTCTTTTTTCAATCAATAAGGGCATAACAGACATTTTACAATTGCAATTTATTACACACAGGTTCCTGGGGACTAAGGAAGAATTTTGGGATTTCCAGGGACTTTATCTGAATTAATTTTCCTCTGTGAGACCTGTGTGTAATTTTTCCAAAAAGAAAAGACCCAGTGTGACAAACTCAAATACTCTGACATTAATAAATTTAGGATAATCATGCTAACGTTTTGGGCCACTAATAGTAGTCTAATACACATACAAAATGATATAATGTGGGTAGGAATTAGGAAAGTGTGTGGTCATGAAAGATTGATTTCGCATTTATAAGGAAGAGGCGAGTTGAAGAAAAATGGAAAAACAAAAATAAGTTATGTGGTAAGAATAAGGAAAAATTATACACAGGTCCCATAAAAGAGATTTTATTCATCTAAGGTCTCACAAAATGTCAAAATTACTAACAGGTCCCAAGAGACCTTAGAGTAATATATTCTATTTGTAAAATGACATTACTACCTCTCATATTCCAAATTCACATTTGCTTTGTCATTGTGATTTATAATCTCAGCAGCGACTATTAACAATCCAATGAGAAGGTGTTAACAACCTAAACAGTATCTGTTAACAACTTTATAGGATCACATAACCTCCACATAAGAGTAAATTATAACCAAATAGTATAATACAATAACTTTAACACTAAAATGGAAAGCTTTTCGAAGCCATTAAGAACTTTAACTAAATCTACTAGGATTATAACAAAATTTTAATGCCGAGATCCATTAACAACTTCAACAGTAGGTATTAATAACCCAAGAAGAGCTGTTGACAATCTAGGCAGTGTCTGTTAACAACTGACTTTATAGGATAATATAACCTCTAACTATAACTAACTAAATTATAACTAAATAGTGTTAAAGTTAATCTTATATAGTTGTTAAGGGTTATATTATCCTATAAAGTTAGTTGTTAACAGACACTGCTAAGGTTGTTAAAAGTTCTCCTTAGGTTATGAATACTCACTGTTGAGGTTGTCAATGAATCTCCGCATTAAAATTTTGCTATAATCCTATTGGGTTTAGTTAAAATTCTTAATGATTTCAAAAAGCTTCCCATTTTAGTGTTAAAGTTGTTGTATTATCCTATTTAGTTATAATTTACTCTTATGTAGAGGTTATGTAATCCTATAAAGTAAGTTGTTAACGGATACTACTTAGGTTGTCAATACCTTTTCATTGGGTTGTTAATAGTCGCTGCTGAGGTTGTAAATCGCAATGAGAGAGCAAATGTAAATTTAGAATGTGAGGGGTAGTAACGTCATTTTACAAATAGAATATATTATTCTAAAGTCCCTTGGGACCTGTCAGTAATTTTAATATTTCGTAGGACCTTAGATGAATAAAATCTCTTCTGTGAGATCTGTACGTAATTTTCCCTAAAAATAATAAATAAGTATTCTTTTTAGAAGCTGAATCTGCGCCTCCCTCTCACCCAAAGTTCTCGTTTTGGATTTTCTAATTTTCCATTAATAATCCTATTTTTCTCGCCCATCAGAAAAATTAACCGTTTTCTTGTGTCTTTGGGGATTCTGGGTTCAATCTGCCTCCCTCAGATTCCCATGATCTTCCTCTTCCTCGTTACTTTTCTTCCTCTTTCTTTCAACATTTTCACCTCCATGAATTTATGACAAGGAAAAAACAATAACAACAATAATTTTCATCGACAGAATCGACATTTTTTTTAAAGCTTCCCTCTGATTCTTTTTTTCTCTCCCAATTTTATTGCGTAATTACAACCACCACCATCATCTTCTCATCGAGATTCTGGTTTGTACAAAATGAAGCTTGTGGTTCGTGTTATTGAGGCTAGAATACCATATGATTATGGATTAAGCGATCCATACGTGCGGTTACAGTTGGGAAAGCAGAAGTTTAAGACCAAAGTGCTCAAGAAGTGCGTCAATGCCAAGTGGGACGAAGAGTTTAGTTTTCGTGTTGAGGATTTGGATGAGGAACTAATTGTTTGTGTCATGGATGAAGATAAGTACTTCAATGATGATTTTGTGGGACAGCTCAAGATGCCAATTTCACTTGTTTTTGAGGAGGAAAGTAAATCTCTTACTTCTTGGTATTCTTTGCAACCCAAAAGCAAGAAATCCAAACCCAAGGAATGTGGTATGATATAATGCAAAACTTTTCCCAGTTTTTCCTTTGTAACTGGTATATGTTTTCCCATGCATTGCACTAAGCTGCATTTACCTTGTTATTTGTTCATCGCTTATGAAAAATGCCGTTTCCTTGGATTTTTATGTTTTATATTCTTTTTTTTTTTTTTTAGAAATCATAGTAAGGAATAAGGATCCGGTTAAAGACCGTTGATCAGGGCATAAATGGCATGCCCGCAATTCCGTTATATACAATTAGATTTCTTTTATTCTTTATTAAAGCTTAGCCACATTAAACTACCAAAGTTTTGAACACAAGGGACAAGGTGCAAGGAAAAAAAATCTTGTACCAAATGGTTTCTTTTTTCTAACGCTTGTGCTTCCAAGTTTTTCTTTTCCCTTCTTATTCCAATATCATGTTTGATTATTGATCAAGCCAAGATCATGCGGTTATTATATGGATTTCGAGATATATTTTTTGGATAAATAACACTTAGTAAATTAAATCACATGTTCGCCACTGGGAAAGTTGTGTGCATTTTGCTTCGGAGAATGTAACATGCATTTACTTTATTGGAATAGGAGAGATTCGGTTAAGTATCTTCATTACCCACATGTCTGATGCTTTGGAGGAGTCAAATCCCAATTGTGACCAAATTTCACATTCAAGGAAATGTTCTGATGTATTCAGTGAATCAACTTTATGGTCTTTCTCGAGCTGTTCAGCTTCATCTTCGCCTTTGAGATATGATGAGATCACATCATCTAAAGATGAGAAATCACAAAAAACTTTTGCTGGCCGAATAGCTCAAATTTTTAATAAAAGTACTGATATGTCTTCAATGTCCATGAGAAGCACTGACTCGGATCAGGCTGAAAGTATTAAAGCTGGAATTGATGACATCAAAATTGAGGATCAATTTGCTAATAATGAGACTTTTGAAGAAGTTGTGAGAAAAATGCAATCATTGGACAATGGGACTGAAATTCCAAGCAATTTACCAGGAGGAGTGCTTATAGATCAACTATATATCGTAGCACCAGAGGACTTGAACACGCTACTTTTTTCACCTGATTCAAATTTCCCCAAGTCATTGGCAGATTTACAGGGTACTACAGAATTACAAGCGGGGCCATGGAAGTTTGAGAATGATGGTACTGAATCGTCATTGAAAAGATCACTTACTTATGTCAAGGCTGCCACTAAATTAGTTAAAGCTGTTAAAGCATATGAAGAACAAACATATGTAAAAGCTGATGTAAACAATTTTGCTGTTTTTGCCAATGTTAGCACTCCAGATGTTATGTACGGGAACACCTTTAGAGCAGAATTACTCTATGTGATTACTCCTGGACCTGAGTTACCATCAGAAGAACAATGTTCACGCTTATTGATATCATGGCGGTTGAATTTTGTGCAGAGTACCATGATGAAAGGAATGATAGAGAATGGGGCTCGCCAAGGAATGAAGGAAAGCTTTAATCAGTATGCTAGTTTGTTATGTGAAACTGTTAAACCTGTTGATTCAAAGGACCTTGGTTCTAGTAAGGAACAAGTCTTGGCATCACTGCAAGCCCAAAAACAATCAGATGGGGAGCTGGCAGTGCAGTATTTTGCAAATTTCACTGTAGTAACAACAGTTGTAATTGGACTGTATGTGCTTGTCCACATTTGGATGGCTCCACCCAGCATAGTTCAAGGGCTTGAGGTTCTTGGGGTTGACTTACCAGATTCAATTGGTGAATTTGTTTCATCTGCTATTTTGGTTCTTCAAGGTGAAAAATTGTTGGGTTTAATTTCACGCTTCATGCGAGCTAGAAGACAAAATGGTAGTCTCTTATTTACAGGCTTTTTTTTTTTTTTGGGCAGAATATGCCACATTTGTTTCAATATTTTTGTTTATCATCAATAAAAAAAAATTCAATAATGGATAAAGGAGGTAGAAATCTCCATAAAACAACATAAAACAGACTAAATCAAAGAGTTAAACGCATTAACCACACAGATCTTTCTAATTCTTCTACCATCCTGTCAAAATAAAGGCCCTCTAGAAGCTATGATCAAGACTCATAATGAAGTTAAACACTCTAGAAAAATTCACCAAACCTTGTAAATGGAAGTTATTCAAGCAAGCCTAAGTTCTTCAGATATAGGGAAGTAACTAGTCTCTTGAAAACTAAAAGCAACATTTGGGATCTGATATTGCTTATGAGCTTGATGAAATACCTTTTTGTGAATCCTACTCAGTAGAGTATATATTTAGAGTCCAAATGAAAACCAACCTTAGAAATATCAAGAAGCCTTTAATCCCCCACCAAAACCCCTCCAAAAATCTAGTGGTAAGCACAATATTCCTTTTACCTATCTCATCGATCAAGTGATTTCCTTATGGGGTTAGCTAATGTCTTCAATTTTCTTTACTCCGATTTTAGGTAGTGATCATGGAATTAAAGCACAAGGAGATGGTTGGCTGCTTACTGTTGCCTTGATTGAAGGAAGCAATATAGCTTCTGTCAATTCAAGTGGAATCTCTGATCCATATGTGGTTTTTTCTTGCAATGGGAGAACTAGAACCAGCTCCACAAAGTTTCAGAACTCTGATCCTATATGGAATGGTGAATGTATTGTGTTGTTATTTAATGATCCATGGGTTATGCTTATAAGTTAAGACTTGTCCTTGTATGTTATAGTATATGCTTTTTTACCCCTTTTGCTTACGAAAATTACTTGCGTTTGCAGAAGTTTTTGAATTCGATGCAATGGAGGACCCTCCATCTGTGCTGAATGTGGAAGTTTTTGATTTTGATGGACCTTTTGATGAAACTGCATCCCTAGGAAAAGCTAAAATAAATTTTCTGAAAACAAACATCTCAGACCTTGCTGATATATGGGTCCCCCTTGAAGGAAAGTTTGCTTTGGCAAGCCAGTCGAAGCTGCACTTAAGAATTTTCCTGGATAACACAAGAGGTGGTAGTGTTATAAAACAATATATAAGTAAAATGGAGAAAGAAGTGGGAAAGAAGGTATGTAATTATGTGTGTCCAACTGTGTGTGTCATCCATTTGTTTCTCTTTATGTATTCACAATATTCATTTTGGCTTATGTTTTCCCTCTTGGAAAATTCGTAGATTAATTTGCGATCTCCTCAGACAAATTCAGCCTTTCAGAAACTCTTTGGGCTTCCGCATGAAGAATTTCTAATCAATGATTTTGCCTGCTATTTAAAAAGAAAAATGCCCATGCAGGTTTGTATTGTAGTTTGTTTGAATTTTGAGTTTAAAAGACATGACTTATCTTTGAATTAGTTAATAATTTGGTTCCATTCTTGTAGGTCTATTCAACTTTAGTTCCTGAAATTTGAAAGTACAAAATTGAATACTTAAAAATAACAATCTTTTTTACAAGTTAGTTGTTCTAACATCCTGTAGTCTCTTGACAAAAGCATTAATGTACAATGAGTTCGGTTATGTTTAATGACTAATATGTGCACTCACTGGTGTTGTCATTTTCTTTTGCAGGGTCGGATTTTCCTCTCAGTAAGAATTATTGGATTCCATGCAAATATATTTGGACGCAAAACTACATTCTTCTTGCTTTGGGATGACATTGACGACATCCAGGTCATTCGCCCCACATTTGCGTCAATGGGGAGTCCAATAATTTCCATAACTCTTCAACCTGGCAGAGGTATGGATGCAAGGCATTGTGCAAAGTCACAAGATGAAGAAGGCAGGCTAAAGTTCCATTTCCAATCCTTTGTATCTTTTAATGTTGCCTACAGGTAGAAGGAAAAGAACTCATGAATGTTTGTGTGAAGTAATTTTTTCATATATCTCTTTGCGACTTCTATGAAACTCTATTCTCTTATATGATTTTATTGATTTTCAAGGCACAACTTTACTGAAGCTCACAGCAACATTTGTAAATGATCTTCATCATTGTATATTTTTCTTGCTGTGTTGATCTCAAACAATTGAGATAGATGATTTTGAGATTGAATTTATGTCACATTGGCATTTGTTATTGAAATCTTTTGTTGTTGATGTACTAGAAAGTTGTGCAAGTCCTTTAATCCCATGGGCATTTGCAAACCTTGTTGACTTGTAAATTAATACACAGTAATAATTTAACAAAATTGGAAGATCAAAGTGTTTGGGTTTTTTTTTTCTTCATCTTTTTTTTTTAAGTCTTTTGTGATTCTAAATTGTTATCCAGTGCGAGAAATATGTCAGACTACTTATTTTCTTGGTAAATGTTTATTTGTACCGGACAATGCTACCTTCCACCGGAATAAACACATGTGCATTGGCTTGCATTTTATCAGCCTGCACTACATTGTACTTGAACTCTACATCAAACTTCTTCCAAGATTCATAGTAATGCGTGCTAGTATACTGTGAAATGTACTTTTGATATTTGCAAGACATTATTCGAAATGGTACTAAGATGGACTACAACATATAAGATCATTTATGTTACTAAGAAAATGTTCTGGTGCTGACATAGGACCATCATGGCTGTTTGGAAGACCAGATCCTTCAGTCCTGAACAAAAAGATCAGATGGTTGAAGATGACTCTGAAAGCAAAAGCCTTGCAAGTGAAGAGAATGGATCATTCGTTGACCTTGATGACGTTAACATGTCTGAGGTTCATTGTTCTACTCTTCCAGTCCCTGTAATCTCTCTCTCTCACACTCACTAAATCACTTGTGAAATACTCGTGATACTTTTTTAATTTTTAAGGTCTGGGTAATCTTGAATTTAGTTTGGGTTACATCCTTCTTAGGTGTCACCTGCATTGGTATAACACATTATCATTTAGGAGATACTCTTTTTGGTCCTAAATGTAAGAGCTTGTTGAAAGTTTTGCATTAGTCCTAAATGTAAGACCCAATCTATTTCGTCTTCCAAATTTATAATTTGTTTTCCAAACTATCTTATTAATTGTTCATATTAAAGGGGGATTTTCATCAATGGGGGGTAGTTTCCGATGTAAATGATCAAACAAGATATGTTAAGAAAACCAACACATTTTTTTTTTAACAAATAACAATTTAATTAATTGTCTTGATCTTTGTAAATTAGTTATCTAGCTGCTACATTTAAAACTAGAGCAAGTATTTCTCTCATATTGTTCCCTGAAGGAATTAAATGCAAGCTGGTCAAGAGAGATGCTATCTCTTCTTGTCAGTTAAGCTAACCTAAAGAGAGTAGACACACGCTTGACATGCATATATTAATCAATCAATATTTTACATATCATCATAACTATGTACCTCATTGGTTCCTTCCATGGTTTTCAGTAGAAATTTTCAAATGTTATTGTCTGACTATATCACTTTGGTTAATTTAGACCAGCTTTTTTATGGAGTTATTTAGTGGAGGAGATTTGGACCGTCGGTTCATGGAAAAATCTGGTTGCATTAATTATTCTTTCACACCTTGGGTATCGGAGAATAATGATACCTATGAGAGGGCACTATATTACAAATTTGACAAAAGTAATACACGTTTCAAAGGTGAAGTAACTAGTACCCAGCAAAGAACTGGTCTTCCAGATGGAAAAGGTTGGCTCTTGGAAGAGGTTATGAATCTTCATGGAGTTCCTCTAAGTGAATACTTCAACGTGAGATTTGCCAACTTCTGTTTCGTTTCATGATTTTCCATGCATATCTACCTTCCTGATATATAAATTTTCACAGCTACACCTTCGTTACCAAGTTTTTGAAGATGTACCTGCAAAAAAAAGTTGCAAAGTACATGTTTACTATGGAATTGAATGGCTAAAAAGTTCAAAGCATCATAAAAAGACTTCAAAGAACATCTTGAAAGGTCTGCAAGAACGTTTGAAGTTGACTTTTGGTGTGATTGAGAAGGAATTCTCATCAAGATAGCAGACAAATCATCGCGTGGCTTGTATTACCACAACCCACAAATGTTATCCGCATTCTTCAACAGAGCCTAATTTGGTTCAAAGGTTAGTTCAATGAAAATCCTAACTTCTCCGACAGACAGTACTTTTAGTGGGAAACAATTGGTCTGACCCTACTAGAAATTACTTCTCTTCTTTTGGTGGCGAGTGACTTGATGTGAGCGGTTTTGTTCTTCAATCAAGAGAAATTCTTAGGTAAACTTGTTCTTTAAATAATCAGTAGACTCAATCAATATTGATGAATATATTCATACTGATACTGCAACCTTAAATAGGTTTTTGTGATTTAATGTTAACTTATCAAATTTGCTAAAACTGCAATCATCGTGTCAGGTTAGAGTGATTACTCGTGGCAGGGGATTCTGTTTGCGTGGTTGTTAGGTTTCAGGATGAACAATGAGGATAAGGGATTCCGTTCTTCTTTGTGTTGATATTAGACCAAATCTTTCTCGCACCACCCTGAACCACTCAACCTCCCTGAACTCCAAGAACTAAAAGATGCAAATCATAATTGCAAAACAAAAAGATACAAAAGAAGGATTTGCAATTGTCCAGACCCATCTTGAAATTGATTGTAAACGTACGAGAATGATACTTTTTTTCTTTTTCACTTAGTCTGAACCCTCTATTTTTTTTCTTGGGCCGAAGAATGGCTGTAAGTAATGTATAGTAAATGAAATATATAATGTAACGTGGGTGGCAAGGAAATATTAAGTGCATCTGACAGCTTAATTTTCACTTGTCATTTAACTTAATATAGGGAATTTGTCACTACCACCGCAATTATGGGTTGTATTCAATGGCTATAGTGAAGTTGTTGACGGCCAAATTGTTGTTATTGGTATTTTTTGCCGTCCAATGTAAACCATAAGCATACAAGTCTTCACAAGAGTAGTAAAAAAAAAAGGAAAAATTAATCTCCCACTCCCTATAGTTCTAAGTAGTTTTGAATTAGATCCTTGAACTATTTTTTCTTTTTGTTAGATCCTTTAAATTTTTTTGGTTAAATTCATAGCTCCTTCCGTTAAAATTTCTGTTAAAGTGGCGTGAGATGGTGTCCAGTTAGAACTATTTTGTCAAAATGGGTTTTGACTAAGTATCCAGCTGGAAATTAAAATTAATATTTATTTATTATCTTTTTAATTGTATTAATAGATTATTTAAAACAATCTTTGTTGTCTTCTCATCACTTCAAAGACCAGACGCTGACGAAGTGTACATATCTACAAACTCAAACAAGCACCACTATATTTTGAGAGGGGTATCGATTCGATTTCTGTAAACAAAGAGTAAAGATAGGGCATAATAAGAAGAGATAGGGAAGATTAGGAATACAGTCAGAGAAATGAGGAATGTCTTCAAGTATAAAACCAGCCTTGCCATCTATCCATAGAGAAACAGCCTCTGAGCCTCGCCATGGACAATCTTCATCCCCAAATCAGTTGATCCCATTCTTCCAACTTGAGAAGATAGAAACGAAATAGGATCTGATGGTTTCTTTTCAAATTATTCCTGTGTTTTCTTCTAGTTCGACCTCAAATTGATACAATGCCGTATTTGGAGTGATGAAAGAGAAATGAGCGACATGCCTTAGTATTAATAGTTATTTGATGGCAAGGGAGTGTACTGTAGTTGAATTGAAGAATTGAATATTTGGAATATATTTGGCTTCCTTCAGCCGGAGAATTTAACAACACGAGAGGAATCTGTGTTGGGGAGGTCGGTGGCGTGGAAGGCGATGAAGTTTAAGTCGCTGGTGCTGTACCTGTACAAGAAGGCAAAGGAGGACGTGTTGATTCACAGCCATGTTGCAACATTTGTGATCCAATTCCGACGATCCCGTTTGTGCTCTCATTCCACTCAAATTTTTTCGATCTGGAAGGAAGACGAATGAAGGGGGAGAGTGAATTGAACACATTTTGGGAATGAAAGTGAGGGAGTGTGTATAGGCGTCGACGTTAGCATAAAATGTAGCCGGATGGTTAGCAAACTCCGGCGAAATATGCGACCCATGACAAAACTGGGTATGAAATCTAGTTGGATGCTTAGTCCAACTAATAAAATAATTCCAGCGGGACACCATCTCATACCACTTTTTTTTTTTTTTGGTCCAAACATCTCACACCACTTTAACAGAAGTTTTAACGGAAGGAGCTAAGAATTTAACAAAAAAACTTAAAGGATCTAATAAAAAGAAAAAAAGTTTTAAGGACCTAATTCAAAACTAACTAAAACTATAAGGACTAGGAGAATGGTTTTCCCAAAAAAAAACAGAAAATGTCGTTCCTATGGGGATTAAGGCAAAAACAAATCAATTGCTACAACCATGCTTGCAATTAGGTTGAGCAAAAACATTTTAAAAAGGTTTAATTTAAAAAAGAAGGGTTAATATACTTTCAGTCCTTAAAATTTGGGTTCATTTTGATTTTGATCCTCTAACTTCAAACCTGTTATTTTTAATCTCTAAAATTTAGTCCATTTTAAAATGTTAGTCTTTAGAGATTTGACAGTGTTAAATTTTGTTGAAGTGTAATAAATGCATTAATAAAGTGGTAATATGAATTCACTAGATGATATTTAGATAGATGTTGTGTGGATAAAAACATTGATGGTAGCGTATAGTCTATGATGTCCGTATGAAAGGATTGGGTTATTTGACACGGGTATGGCATTTAGTTTGCATTCTGAATGAATGGGTGAAGGTGGTGGGCATTGATGGTATTAAAATGACCTGTCCAGAATTTGTGCTGTGAAAGTACAAATGTTATGCTGTAAATAATGTTGACTTTAGCTGTAAAACCATACTTTATTTAACTTCTGTTGAGTAATCAAAATTTACATAAGATGGAGTGTAAAGACGCATATGTGATATGGCTAGCAGTTATGTTATTTTCGCTGTTTGTAATTTGAACGAATGGGTACAAGTGGTGGAGATTGATGATATCAAACTCACTGGTCCAAAACTTGTGTTGGGAAAATGCTGATGTTGTGTTGTAAAAGTGATACTTATAGTTGTAAATTTTTACTTGGTTTAACTTTTGCCAAGTAATTGAAACTTACATAATAACGAAGTGCAGAGACATTGATAGCATTAAACTAATTTATACAGAATTTGTGTGGTGAGAATGTTAATTTTATGTTGTAAATCTGGTAACTGTTGTTGTAAATTTATATTGAGTTTAAGTAATTAAAATTTATGTAATATGTGCAGATATTCATATGGCTAGCACTTCTGAAAAGTAATTATTTTACTTTTTCTATGTAGGAGGTAAATACATGAAGAATTTAGAGGGAAAAGCAATATATAAAGATAGGACTATCAGTAGAAGATTGACAACATAAAAGTGACATATAAAGAACTAAGAAGGCTGGTAGCAATAGATTTATATAAGGGAAGGAGTGGGTTTAATATGAAGTATACAGTTAGTTATGATGGAGTGACATTATTCGATCTTGCAGATGATATTGAAATGACATAGTGATCACTCACGAGTGTATGAAATCGATGTAATAATAAATTTCAAAGTATTCTAGGGTCATACTTACTGGAAGGTTGTATTTTTATTGATTCTATACTAATTAATAATTAAAAAAGTTGCAATAAAATAAATTATTTAAAAGAATAAATTGAAAATAACAGAAAAGGAAAAAGATAATTAATTATAAGAAGAAGAATCAATTACTTGAAACATTGATGTTCAAGAATCTCCCTATAGATAGCTAATTTCTATCTTTTAAATTGACTCTTTATTCTGTTATAGTCATAAATATTCCTAAGGTGTTCTAATATCCTCTCACTTTATTTGTCCTTTTTTACTTAGTATTGAATTTATTCCCACGATACCTAATCACGTAATTAAACCATGGAGATATAGTTCAGCATAAATATTTAGAACCATTCTTACTCTATATATTTATATCTATTATATTTCTCTATATCTACTTCACCTTCTAATCCATCAAGTTTAACCATCGATTTGATTGAATAGTGGCCAGTCATAAAATCAGAATGAAGAGCAAGAAACATGGATATAATTGAAAAAACCAAAATATATCTATAAATAAAAATCCACAAAAGAGTTAAAACAAAAATAATAGAAACTAGCTTCCTTAATGGAATATATCCTTATCCTAACTAGAAAATTTAGAAACACGTAAATAAATTCATAAATATCACCATTTTAAAATTCTCAATTATGATAAGCATAACAAGAAATTAAAGAGTAAATAAACTCTATTAATCTCACACTTGATAGTTTAGAATTGTGATTGGATGCCTCCAAAGTGACCTCCTAGGATCTCTATTTACATCTGAAGTTGGGGCTCCCGTGTCCTCTGGATATAGGACTTTTAACATATATTTATAAGGGAAAATTTCACTGTAGGACCGCAGAAGACAATTAATTTCAAAAGCCCTCAAAACTTTCTGAAATTTCACTGCAGGACCAAGGGGACAAACTGATATTAATTCCACAAAGAAAATAACCCTATTGCCCCTCATGTGAACAAGTATGGGAGAACCCATTTGCAAGTGAGGTTAGATAATTTACAACATGCATAGATATATTTACAATTAAAATTAGTCTGTTTACATATTACCTTTTTCACCTGAAGAATGTGTTTGGGTGAACAAGTGTGGGACAACCCATTTGCAAGTGGGACTAGACAATTTGCAACATACATATATTTATTTACAACTGAAATTAGTCCATTTACATGTCACTTCCTTTACCTGAAAAAGGTCTCCGTGAGTGAACAAGTGTGGGAGCGCCCATTTGCAAGTGGAATTAGTCAATTTGCAACATACATACATTTATTTACAATTAGAATTAGTCCATTTACATATCACCTCATTCACCTGAAAAAGGTGCCTGTGAGTGAATAAGTGTGAGAGAGCCCATTTGCAAGTGGGACTAGTCAATTTGCAACATACATACCTTTATTTACAACTGAAATTAATCC